TATATATATATATATATATATATATATATATATATATATATATATATATATATATATATATATATATATATATATATATATATGTATATATATATATATATATATATATATATATATATATATATATATATATATATATATATATATATATATATATATATATATATATATATATATATATATATATATATATATATATATATATATATATATATATATATATATATATATATATATATATATATATATATATATATATATATATATATATATATATATATATATATATATATATATATATATACTTCTTATAGAATACTTCTTATTGGATAAATATATACATATAATACATTACAATAAAACATATATAAACCTAATATATATTTGTTAATAAAAACAAATATTAAAGGGCACCAATTTTAACAATTTTTCCAGTCTTCTGTGTCTCCAGATTGTGTCTGTAAAGTTTCAGCTCAAAATACCCATCAGATCATTTATTATAACTTTTTAAGTCTGGGAAATGTGAGCTGTTTGGACATTGTGGCTGTTTTTGTTGCCTGTGCCTTTAATGCTAATGAGCTGGTTCTTCCCGCCCACCGTTGCCACATGCATGTCGCAGCCATAGCCTTCATGTAGACAAACAGCTCAGTGACAGACAAGAATGAAGCAGATCACCCTTACTACAGTAAGAACTTTCACAATAGTTCTTTGATGTATTTGTTGTGGAGTTAATTTAAGCCTTTCTGAAGCGATGAGTCACACACTATGACGTTACAAAGTTCGCTCGTGTGCACGAGCACACACACACACGTTCGCTTTGCAGGGCAAATGTGACAGGATACACACTAATATCCACTGCTGTATGGACATTGTCATGTTATTGTACAAAATAAACCTGATTTAACGTCCACAAACCAGGATTGAAGCGTCCTCTTTCATAATTGTATTGACACTATGCGGCTGTGGTGATGAATTACATAGCAATATTACTATCTATATAACAAACATGCACTGTTTTAAAAACTCATTCTTGATCACACTTGATGATCACAGAGAGCAGAACAGCTCTTTTAATCCCAGTTGCTTTGTGCACGTCCTGTCTTGTTGATATGATTATACATGTTACTACAGAGACATGTTAATGAGCAGCTGTCAATCAATTCGGTGGGCGAGGAACCAGCACTCCTACGTCAAGTTGCAGTCAGCCTCAAAATGCGAGGGATTTGGGTCCTATTTTAACATCAGGAAATTAAAAAAAAGAGATTTATTGTGTTTATATCACTCCAATATGACTGTGGACACACTATACCTACACATACTTCTGTCCAAACAGCTTACAAAAGATGATTTTCATCATAGGTGCCCTTTAAAACCAATATTACATATAAAACAATACATAAGCATGCGTGAATACAGATACAGCATTACTATAAACATTTAAAATTAAAAGTAAATCAATGCAATGATCAAATGTAATAAAAACAGCAGGTGTGTCAGTAAAGGATTCATGTATCCTGAAGCATGAGCTCAGACCTCGACGTCGTTGGAGATGCAGATGGTGTTGATGAGTGGCACCGTTTCGCCCTCCAGTGACTTCATGGCTGTGATGCTCTGAAAACTCTGATCAAACTCCACACTGCTGATGCCTTTAACACACAAACACCACACATGACAAATCTGTGTAATGACATGATGGGTAAAACAGGCATTACAAATAACAAAGGTGACTTATGAGGACGCTGACAATGCCCCCATTTTTAAAAACAAGTATAAATCAAACAGAGTGAGTTTTATTCAGAAAGTAAAAATTCAGTTTTCAGTAAGGGGTAAAGCCTGTTTCACACCGCAAGCGTAAGCCGCGCACGAGCAGAGCATGTTTTTTCGGCGTCCATTTTAACAGACTAGTGCTTTCATATCGCACGCTAGAGGTCTGCATTCCCGCGGGACCTGACCAGATTTCTGCGGCGCGGGAATACATTTCCGAATCAAGAGCGGGAGCGGTCGGTAACGGGTTTAATTTGGGACGGGAGCGGGCTGTCTAACAATATCGCTCCCGACTCCCGAGTGAGCAGGCGTATGTATGTGTGTAAATGAAATAGCGCGATGCTGTGTTTAGCTTGTTTGTTGCTGTGTGTGTGTGCACGTGCGAATGATAGGTGTGTGTGTGTGTGTGTGTGTGTGTGCATGCACGAATAAGAGGTGTGTGTGTATGTGTGTGTGTGTGCACGTGCGAATGATAGGTGTGTGTGTGTGTGCGTGTGTGCGCATGCGCGAATGAGAGGTGTGTGTGTGTGTGTGTGTGTGTGTGTGTGTGTGTGTGTGTGTGTGCGCGTGCACGCGCGAATGAGAGGGGTGTGTGTGTGTGTGTGTGTGTGTGTGTGTGTGTGTGTGTGTGTGTGTGTGTGTGTGTGTTAGTGCACGTGTGCGCGCGAATGAAAGAGAGAGAGCTTTGCCTGTGTGTGTGCTTGGTGCTTATGTGTGTGTGTGTGTGTGTGTGTTAGTGCACGCGAATGAGAGAGAGAGCTTTGTGTGTGTGTGTGTGCGTGTTTATACAGACAGCTTGTTATAGGCTGTCTGGACTCTGTATAGCTGGGTGGTTTTCGTTTTCGTTCTCCCACCCGCTCTTTAGCGGGATCGGGGGCGGCGGGTAGAAAAAGGGGCGGGTCGGGCAGCGGGACAACAAATGCTGAATGTAAGCGGGAGCGGTTGGGCTCGGGCTAAAACCTGGCGGGTGCGCCAAATCAAAATATAGTCCCGCGCAGATCTCTACCGCACACAGCAGCAGCGCATCAGAGTGAGGCGTGAGCGTCGCTGAAGCAGCAGTGCAGCGATAGTTACGCCGCTGGGTCTATTTTTGCCGCGCTGCTCACGCTCAATTAAAGTGACAGTGCACTGATAATGACCAAAACACATTGAATGACAGAAAAAAGAAGCAACTTTACCCAATAAATGTGTCAATAATGTCAACTGATTTATGTATAGTCAATCAAATGAACTTAAACGATTAAAAACTGCAACAAATATTTTTTTAGGCCCGAAAAACAAAACCAAATGTAAAACAATTTTAGTATCCGTTTTGCTTAAGTTGCATGCTAGTGTTGCAGGAGAGATGAAGTGGCAGCTTTAATGCCTAGTTCAGACTGCGTGATTTTAGCCCCGATTTTGGCTCGCCGACAGGTTTTAAGAAATCGCCGACAAATGTTCTAAATCACAGGCAAATCGCTGCTCGTGCACGTGAGTGACAATCACACAATATGAACGATCAAAGACGCGATCTGAGAGAATCGGCGATGAGTCGCCGATGCCTGCGAGATATTTGGCGTGCTGAATATCTGGAGCTGTCGGCGATTCAAATCATGCCGTGTGAATTGAGTTTTGACTGAAAATAACATCAGCGATCGCCTACAGCCAATGAGAGAGCAGCTTTCACTTGTGTGTGCGTGTGTGTGTGTATACCTGCTGCAGGCCAGCGGGAGGCTGGGGGAGAAGTTAAAAGCGCTCTTTTTCGGTTAATTTGGACCCACGAAATGGAGGAAAACTAGTGGAGGTTTGACAGGACTCTGGAGCAACCGTGTCTGTTTGACGTTTCATACAGAAAGAAATTAGTTTATTATCGACGTTGAGGAGAAATGGCTAATTCCCTTTAAATCCAGGTGAGCAAACATGTAAATTTTT